CAAATAATAGTATTGTAATTTATCCAATCTCTTGGACAAAAAAAATAAATATATAATATAATTAAATATTTAAATACTCAATAACGATAATATTATAATGAAACCTCATTATAAACAAAAGAAGAAATGTCTAATGGATCGGAAAGATATCTAAATAAATAATAGATTATATACTTAAAGAGGGATAAAATAAATTTATAATTAAGTTTAGTAACAAATAAAATAAGAATTAACTATTCGACACATAATTTATTATTTAATTAAATTACATATATCAATTTTTATAGGAAATTTTTTTAAATATGTTCGCATGCAATGAACGTCGTGCATTGTTAGTATGAGAAAATATGCAGAATTGTTTTTAGTTGTTTGATAAGATGAGAGATTAATTAAATGGTATGAAATTGAAATGGCAAGATTTTATTATATAATTAAATTATATGAAGAATTTAAGGATTATTTATAACGTCTGATATTTGATTGTAGCTAAACGTTAAATATTTATGCAAAATACAAGGGAGACTCTTATGTTGGATTGAAAAATATGAGGCAATATACAGAAAAAAATTTAGTCATTTAATAAGATGAGAGATTAATATCAATGTCATGAAATTGAAAAGGAAATATTTTCTTAAATAATTAAATTATAAGAAGAATTCAAGGATTATTTATAACTTCTAATATTTGACTGTGACTCAAAAATAAATATTTATGCAAAAAAAAAAATGCAAAATACAAGGGAGACTCTTATTTGAGATCAAAACATTGGGTTAAAGTCAAGAATTATTTAGAGTCCATAAAGAAATTATTTTTTCCCCAAATATNGACTTTTCCAAGACACCGTGGATGAGGCTCTTGGGATGGCGCTGCCTACTACTTGGTGATGTAGTTCCTCGAAACCTGATGAGCCTAATTGGGAATGGACCTCTTTTGGGTTGGATTTATTGGATCTCATCTAGTTGAGCTCTTTATTCAAGTTGGGCTTATAACCTGAGTTGAGCCATTGGGCCTGGCCCATCAGATTCTATGGTCAAATATATGTTATATTTGATTTTTTTAGTGTACAATAATATCATATTATTAGAATACAAATAATAGTATTGTAATTTATCCAATCTCTTGGACAAAAAAAATAAATATATAATATAATTAAATATTTAAATACTCAATAACGATAATATTATAATGAAACCTCATTATAAACAAAAGAAGAAATGTCTAGTGGATCAGAAAGATATCTAAATAAATAATAGATTATATACTTAAAGAGGGATAAAATAAATTTATAATTAAGTTTAGTAACAAATAAAATAAGAATTAACTATTCGACACATAATTTATTATTTAATTAAATTACATATATCAATTTTTATAGGAAATTTTTTAAAATATGTTCGCATGCAATGATAAGATGAGAAAATATGCAGAATTGTTTTTAGTTGTTTGATAAGATGAGAGATTAATTAAATGGTATGAAATTGAAATGGCAAGATTTTATTATATAATTAAATTATATGAAGAATTTAAGGATTATTTATAACGTCTGATATTTGATTGTAGCTAAACGTTAAATATTTATGCAAAATACAAGGGAGACTCTTATGTTGGATTGAAAAATATGAGGCAATATACAGAAAAAAATTTAGTCATTTAATAAGATGAGAGATTAATATCAATGTCATGAAATTGAAAAGGAAATATTTTCTTAAATAATTAAATTATAAGAAGAATTCAAGGATTATTTATAACTTCTAATATTTGACTGTGACTCAAAAATAAATATTTATGCAAAAAAAAATGCAAAATACAAGGGAGACTCTTATTTGAGATCAAAACATTGGGTTAAAGTCAAGAATTATTTAGAGTCCATAAAGAAATTATTTTTTCCCCAAATATTACCCCTTTTAAAAAATAGGGTTCATTTTCTAAAAAATATTGTAATCAATACTAGACATTGTGTCATTTTTTAATTTTTGGGAATTCAAAAGAGGGAAAAGCTCCGTCGAAGTAGGTTATACACCCNATTACCCCTTTTAAAAAATAGGGTTCATTTTCTAAAAAATATTGTAATCAATACTACACATTGTGTCATTTTTTAATTTTTGGGAATTCAAAAGAGGGAAAAGCTCCGTCGAAGTAGGTTATACACTCNAACCTGAGTTGAGCCATTGGCCTGGCCCATCAGATTCTATGGTCAAATATATGTTATATTTGATTTTTTTAGTGTACAATAATATCATATTATTAGAATACAAATAATAGTATTGTAATTTATCCAATCTCTTGGACAAAAAAAATAAATATATAATATAATTAAATATTTAAATACTCAATAACGATAATATTATAATGAAACCTCATTATAAACAAAAGAAGAAATGTCTAATGGATCGGAAAGATATCTAAATAAATAATAGATTATATACTTAAAGAGGGATAAAATAAATTTATAATTAAGTTTAGTAACAAATAAAATAAGAATTAACTATTCGACACATAATTTATTATTTAATTAAATTACATATATCAATTTTTATAGGAAATTTTTTAAAATATGTTCGCATGCAATGATAAGATGAGAAAATATGCAGAATTGTTTTTAGTTGTTTGATAAGATGAGAGATTAATTAAATGGTATGAAATTGAAATGGCAAGATTTTATTATATAATTAAATTATATGAAGAATTTAAGGATTATTTATAACGTCTGATATTTGATTGTAGCTAAACGTTAAATATTTATGCAAAATACAAGGGAGACTCTTATGTTGGATTGAAAAATATGAGGCAATATACAGAAAAAAATTTAGTCATTTAATAAGATGAGAGATTAATATCAATGTCATGAAATTGAAAAGGAAATATTTTCTTAAATAATTAAATTATAAGAAGAATTCAAGGATTATTTATAACTTCTAATATTTGACTGTGACTCAAAAATAAATATTTATGCAAAAAAAAAAATGCAAAATACAAGGGAGACTCTTATTTGAGATCAAAACATTGGGTTAAAGTCAAGAATTATTTAGAGTCCATAAAGAAATTATTTTTTCCCCAAATATTACCCCTTTTAAAAAATAGGGTTCATTTTCTAAAAAATATTGTAATCAATACTACACATTGTGTCATTTTTTAATTTTTGGGAATTCAAAAGAGGGAAAAGCTCCGTCGAAGTAGGTTATACACTCATGTTCTCAGCTAAATTATCTTTGCAAAAATGAGTTGATACAAATTTTGCTAACATTTTTAGCAATCAATAGTGACCTCAATCATGGCCCTAATGGCACGTCACGTTTATGTAGATTCAAAATGCACATAATTATCGACCAAAAAATTCAAGTCAGTTCAACTAGAATGTTTTTTGTGAGACTCAAACTTGAGATCTCGAGAAGTTTCATTTAATCTCGTGTATAATTGCAGGGGCACAAAACAAGCATGATAAACAAAAAATAGAAGTTTTTTTGTTGAAGAGAATATATTTGCATCAATTTAAAATGTTAAAAGTTTAAACATGGACATTTCAACCCATTAGCATAACAAGTAAATCGATTATTAATATAGACAGTAATTACAACATAAACCAAACTCAGTCTTGGTATCTTTCAATCCCCCCATTAGCCCCGAATTTCACTGAAAAGCCTCATGACTTAGGGTTGTTATCGGAGCAGATCGAGCTCACCTCAGACTTTGCTTGGGTCTAACTCAATTTCATCTGTCAGGTTCGTTTGAATGCAAAATGAACTGAACTTTAATTTTCAGCTTGTGTTTAGTAGATAAATTGATTTCTCTACTAAATTTCTGTGTATGACTCAATTCTACGATGGATATAAACTAGAAGAGAAATCTATTCTCTACTAAATTTCTGAAAATTTTGAACCAGTATGGATATAAGCTAGAAAATTTTTGTTGGGAAATCAATTGTTAGTGTTGAGGTAAATTTTTTTAAAATTCTTGCTGATAAATTAGGCTCGGTTTTAACTTGAATGCACACAAGCTTGTGCCAAACGGAACTCGAGTAAAAACCTACGCTAGACAGTCAATGTAAAGCTCAACTAATTGCAAGTGAGCCGAATCTGCAGATAATGAAATTCGATAAGATCAACTCGATTAGCTCCCCTACCATCAATATTGATGAGCTTCAAAACTTACACTTGGAAGGGCAGTCTATCCCAATAGGAGAGGAGTTAGACTTACTCAAACTCTAGAGGCAGAGCACATTCTGGTGGTCTGTTGGTTCAAAGATGGGTCTGTTGTGGCTCAGAGGGAGGGAACATTGCTAAGAACAAAGTACTTTGTAATCCTCCATTAGGATTTTATACCAACTCCAAGTCTAGTAGTCACCTTCAAAAATATGTTGCCATGTCAATAGATGGTGAATTTCGTTTTCAAAACAAAAACATAACCAACCTCGTTTGAAAAGTGTCCCGAATTTAAGTTGTAGCGTCGAGTCCAAAGTGAACATATTTGAGTTAGTTCTATCTGTGTTATCAAAAAAAAAATCACACTGCCACAAAAACCTGACATTACATGCAACAAGAAGACCACAAATAACTGAATAAGATTTGTGTTGTTTTTGGGTAGTACCCCTATTCAAATAATAACCAATAGATGCCAACAATCCATATATGTAAGAAATTCATTCTCATTGCAATCAGGACTAATCACCAAGGAGACTGTCCTATCTTAAACAAATTAAGTGTTGACTATACCATTAAGTAACACTTTTATAAGTAATTTTTGAAAAAGTAGAGAGGAAAAGGCGGTAAGAATTGTGTGAAATAAGTGAAGTTATCCAGTTGAGACATTTTTTATCAACAACAAATGATCCCATCTAAACATAAAGAGGCTCCTTCCTGTATGAATACTGAAGAACTATATAATAAAATCTGACCATACAAATAAAAAGCAAAAAACAAACATACAACTTAAAGTAAAAAAAACAATACAGTACATTAAAAAAAACATTATCAAACACTACATAAGGCTTCCCTCGCAAAGGATTGCTCATCCACATAATAATTAGCAAATCACAAAAGTAAAAGGTTTTTGGTCTGCAACCAGCAAAAGCATAGTAAATGGGAGCTTAACAAGACAAATAAACACTAAATTAAGTTCCTACTGCAGGATGAATATTCACAGTTTTTCCATTTTTAAAAGAGAGAACTTTATGTACAAAGGGAAGAGTCAACTGAATGTATCATCAGCTATACAAAAAGGAAAATCAACTTAAACTCCCACCAGCAAGAGGATTTATCTTTGCTCAACATATTTATATATCTACAATTAGTTTCTTCCATCATGTCTAGATGCATTTTGTAAGATCAGGAAGGAGGCAGAGAATGAATGGTTGTATCGGGTAACATGGCTACTGTCACTACGAAGTATTCACAGCCAATGGGGAGACCATATGGGTTTGAAGTTGATCCTGATTTCAAGGTCAACCGACTGGTTCCTGTGTCAGATGTCAGCAAATCGGCTCGATCTCCCTTGTTATGCTCAGGTCGAACTGAGGTGGGAGGAGGTTTCACATTTTGTCGTTCAATATGCACAATCTGTCCTATAATGTAACTAGGACGATTTGGAAGATGGTCAACAAACAAGGCCACAGATTCAGCAGACAGGAAGTAGTTGGGGCATTGCCTGTTGATCGCTTCATAGTGACCAGCACAGTTGAGAACAAATGCAGCAATCTCATGGACTTCCAACCGGCCAAAAGATATCTTTTCCTTGTTTGCCTGCCAAGATCATTAACATTTGAATTTTTGAAAGGGCAAAAGAATTACGGAAAGGATAAGACAAGTTCATGGCTGGACTATGAACAGCAATGTAAGATATTTCTGCAGCAAAATACAAATCTGAGGTAAACTAAGAATAGGTATGATGTTGACATTCTGCTTGCATCAAGCAGATGTAGCTAGCAACCTCAGCAATACTCTCGGATGGTTGAAGTATACAAAACAAGGGGGCAAACCAGGTTTTCAAGTTTTGGTTAGATCCGGTTTCCTGGACAGTGAATATACCAAGTGAGTTTTCTTTTTACTTTCTTTCAACTTAGCCTTAAAACAGAACAGTTGAAAGGCATCCTCCTGTCAGTGACACTGGCCAATTTAGAGATGTGAACAATCAATCAACTGAACAGCCCTTAAAGTTGTTCATGAAGAACCTCAAATCCACCATCTACAGTAATGTAAACATTATCATTGTAAACCCAAACAACTCACCTGCTTCTCAAGTTGATGCTTTATGTACAGAGATTTGACCAACTCTTTCTTCTCTTCCAGCTCCTTCGTAATCTGCTCATTGGCAGCTTCAACTTTTGGGTACCTGTCAAGCAGCTCTGCACGCTGCCTCGACAAGACACCAACTTTATCAGCAAGCACCCGGATACATTCACAGAACTCAGCAGTACCATCGTCTTCGTTATCATTGATGGAACTGAAAATAGTGAAGGTCATAAATTGGATGCACAATCAACATCAATACCATTGATCTTAATAAAAGGTCAAAGGACATTAAGAATTAAGAAAGAAAAGAGAGTAAAAATGATTGACACCACCTAGTTCTTAGCACATCAAGACATTTACAAGTAAAAGAATTGCATTAGCTCTTGTTTTATCCTTGTATCGACTTTGCATTTATGTTTAACCTGAAAGAAATTTTGCATAAATGTTGGAGGAGGCCATTGTGGTGCTAATTGATGAATTTGATGGTAGAAGTAAAAAGCCAAAAATAGAGGAAGTTGGGGATGGCAAGGTGAGGCAAGGTGAGGCAAGTGACCATCACTGTACAGTTTTTCTTCCTGTCAGTGTCAATCTTATACGTGAAGATAACATAAAGCTAACAAGAAGGCAAGAGACACTGCAAAGACCAAGAGGATCTCCCAAGCCCTTACATAGTGAGTGCATGTACCTCTTCTAATGTGTTACTTTTCCTCCTATTTTTCTCCTCTTCAAAGAAATCTAAGGGTGGACGAAAGACCATGGGTAGCCTTTCTTTCTTAACAATCAAAATATTCTAGCAATGCACCTATATCAGATATCTCGGCTTATGAACTTCAATGCTGTGCTTTGCAATGGCAGAAGTTCATATTGAAGCAGTCAAGGTGTCGTCAGAGTGAGGGCTTGCTTAGCCAGGCCTCAATGACCTGCCTCAGATCCTAGAAAAGTACTAGGCAACTAGCTGTTCACTCAGACATTCTATTCAGGTAACAAGAAATCGCTGAACTCCCAAGTCTAATGAACGCCAACTGTAACACCACATGCAAACAGTCCTTAAACAATGAAAAAGCAAAGCAATCAATTACTGTAATTACATTTTTTTTTATTGTAATTACATTCAGTATGGTAAACTTGAGCAAATCCTTCTATATTTTCTAATTTCAAATTCCCAACAGTAACTAGAGCTATAATTCCCCATTCATCTCCAAAAGTCAATTGTCTGTGCATGTATGAAACTCCATAATTACATGGAGTCATGCAATAATTTGTTAAACCAAAAAGTAACACCCTTGTTGCGCTTCTTTTGAAGTATAAAGTTTGAACAAGCCATTTCTTCTTGCCCTTTGGGAATAAACATACCAAATTCCTCTCCCACACCCCTCTAGATGAAAAAAAAAAAAACTTAAACCTGCTATTATTTATCAATCCAGATCAAGAATAAAACAAGCCAAAATTTCTATCATATAAAAGAAAGAAATAGGCCAATAATTCACATATTTTCCAAGGAACCCACTTTCATAACTTTATTTAATTGGGGTCTTGGATACCCCGGACAGCTATTAAAGCCATTACTAGTGTGCCCGGTAATTAACAATTAAGGTACACAAACTGTACAAAAAGTTTATGTATAGTCAACTTAGAAGCCTAACTGCACAAAAAGTCAACACATCAAAAGATACCAACCACACCATGGATATACTTCATTTTTCTTGAAACCATTATTGTGTCTTCATCTAAATACACTGAAGAATGATTGGCTTCTACAATACGCGTGGACTTGCCAAAAAATATCATACATGTTTTCGATGAGTTCCAAAAAATTGTGGCTTCATATATTGAACGATTATACTGATTTAAAAATAGTACATCAGTATATAAAGTAGGGTGGGCACTATGTCCAATCTAAAGGAAAAAACATTTTAAAAAAATACATAAGAGCTATGAATCACATAAAGCTTTCAATCGGCCAATATGCAAACAAGCGGAATTACCACAAAATCCTTAGTAGCCAATGCCTTAAAAGAGTCGCTCAAAAAAAATGGCCTAAAAGACGGCAAAAAACAGATTCTTGGCCATAAGCATTTATTTGAGCACAAAACACTTGCATCGAACCAGCAAAATTGCAAAACCAGAGCTATTAAGCAAGTTTTCCAAAGAAAGCCCACAGAGACCTGTAGGGCTGTTCTCAAATCATCACCAGCTTGCGGCTTTTTGATTTGACAAATGAGGGGGATAACTCACTACTAGTTCATTGGGGTTATTGTACAGTATGCTGATTAGACTGAGAAGACAAAAAAATGGCTGGAGAGGCTTGTTCAAGCATCCAGTGGATTGTGATGAAAGACAAAACTTGAGGATTAGTTTCCCTCAAACCCAAAGAGCCTGATTCAGGAGCAATTCCGTTCAAGAAGAATAAAATGTGGCATTGCAGTACTACAACAATTTTGTATTAGTTTCTAATTTGGACTTTTTCAAATCCGTTTTCCTCTCTTTTAAATTGAGAATTGTTTGATGGCTAGGATTTAATGTCACTAGAGCTCAATACAAGGCTAAGATTAGAATGGTTGGTTTGGTAGTACGCAGTGTTAGTGGTTTCTAGTTTGTATTTGTCACCTCTTTCATTCAGGCTGAGGCACTAGTTATGAATAGTACCCTATCACAGCATGTAAGGTTGCCTTTGTTTTTAAGTTCCTTTCTGAACTTTGAGACTGGTTTAACAGCACCCTAATCGAGGTTCTTCCTTTGATTCCCTTCAAGAATCTTAGGCTTCGATAATGGATCAAAGTATCATCTCATCATATCGTGCTCACATCTAAGTTACATAGCCCAAAGGAATGGAAATCTGAGCCTCAAAAACATCCTAGGACTTAGACTAGGAGTAGGAATAACAGCTACCAAGCTTGGAGCCTGGGACACATGGACAAAAGAACTGAGCCATCTTTGAATAAAAATTTAAAGAAGAATTTCAACAGCACAAATGAGTTTGCATAATAAAGATACTAAAGAATGCAACCAGAGTATCATATTTGCATACATCAAGGTGAATATAACAAGTCCAAAGTCCTTTTAGGAATTTAGGGAACTTACTTGGCCAAAGATTGAGCTAAAGTACGCAAAGCCTCAGCAAAGCCAGCCACCCCACCCGAAGAAACACAGCTCCTTAGTCTTTCAAAAAGGCTGCGAATTTTTACAGCAGAGGCACGCAAGGCACTATACTCCGAGGCCCTTCGATCAGCTGCACAAAGATGGGTCTGGGCTTCCTCTCTTGCTTCATGCAGACAATTCTCTAAATGGGCACAATTCATCTACATAGCGACAAATCAAATAAGTAAATGCTTTCTNTTCCTCTCTTGCTTCATGCAGACAATTCTCTAAATGGGCACAATTCATCTACATAGTGAAAAATCAAATAAGTAAATGCTTTATTTGATACACAATGGCATGGGGGTAGACTTAAATGCTAGGAAGTATGGATACGGACTCAAGTGTCGTCAAGGATTAAAATATCGTTTTGGTGTATTGTTTCGGTCACCTAAGAAACGGAAACGTTTTTATGTGTTTTGGAAATGTTTTCGATGTGTTTTGAAAACGTTTCGATCCGTTTCGAAAACATAATGAAAAAAATAAAAAATTTAAGAATTATTTTTCTAAAATATTGATAAAAATATACCAAAGTATCTTAAAATACCTTAAAACATTCTAAAACAATTGTGCAAATGCATTGAAATATTATAATACATTTAAAAATATTATGGAATACCTCGAAATTTCAGAATTTCGATTCCATCACTGTTTCGTTTCGGTCTCCTTGGAAACGGAAACGTTTCGGACGTTTCAACTGTTTTAAAACGATATTTTGGTCCTTGAGTGTCGTATCCGATATGATTCAGACACTGGGATATGAAAAAGTTCAAAAATATAGAACACGGATATGACAAGAATGCAGCTAATTAAAATAATATTATATATTTTTTAGATAATAATAAATTTATAATATATTTAAAATAAAATATATTTATAACAATATTAATAATAAGACCTGGTACATATTAATTTTTTTATAGAAATTAAAACAAATGAAAATGGTGTAAGTTACATAATAAAAAAAATAAAAAAAAATTAAAGNAGAAATTAAAACAAATGAAAATGGTGTAAGTTACATAATAAAAAAAATAAAAAAAATTAAAGAAATCAGACCCCTCTTCATGGGTCACTGTAATTTTTTTTTTTAAAAAAAAAAAACCCTGCCTGTGTCATAGCAGTGTCTGACTGAACTCACTATTCAGGACATGTGACTGACACTGCCATGACATCCTTCAAGAAGTATCCGTGCTTCCTAGTTTAAATGATAAATTTTTGGGGGACGCAATTCACTATGGGACTGTCATCCAAATTGGTTTGTGCTTGAATTTATCTAACAATATAAAACCATATATAGTCTATACATACTTATTTTATATTTATGATAAAAGTTTCAAAACAAAACCATAATCAGAAACAACATATTGGCTAATGATTGTAAATAATAAAAAGTAGGATAGTCGTACGTGTATGAAAAAATTTCAAGTTTCAACTACCAAAATATAAAAATATAAGATTAAGCGGTCTATAATTTGGAGTTAGGGTTACAATTTGAATTCGGAAAAGTGGGCGATCTAGGTCGCGAATCCACTTTGTTTAGGATTGTACAACCTTGGGCCGAGGGGGAATTTGATGAACCTGCGGTCCTAGCATCCCTGGCCCCACATGTTTGATCCAATTAAAGCTCAACTTGTTTGGTTAAAGAGGGACACATCTAAAACCCTGAAATTGGTTTTTCTCAGGTATGTAATTTAAGGTAAAATGAAAGGGGCGGAAATTTAAGGTGGTGTTTGGTAACTCTGTGTTTGTGTTTTTTTCTTTTTTTTTTTTTTTTGGGTTGGTCTATCTTGTAAACAACCCCAAATTTTAAAAACATCAAAAGAGGTGTTTTTGAAAACACAGAAAAATGAAACACACGCGCCCTTTTAAACTATTTAATGAGGTCTAGCCTTCGAACTCCATTAGCAGCAAAACAAAGGGTTTTTTTCATTCCCACTATGAAAGCATTTCTTACCCCTTTTTCCTCTTCCCTCGTTCACCTCTCTCACTCTCTTGTTCATCTCTCTCACAGGCAGCAACAAAGAGCTACGAAGGAGGACAAAAGAGCCAACACTCTCTCTCTCTCTCGCCTTTCTCTTATGGGTTCTGTTGGGGAGTTTCATGGTTGGGTTTTGTGGGTAGTGGTGGGGGTGGATTGGGAGTAGGTTTTGGTTGGTTTCAGTGGTGCATTGGGGGTGGGTTTCGATGGGTTTCGGTGGTGGGGATGGGTTGTGGGTTTCGGTGGTAGTGGGGCGGATTGGGGGTGGGTTTCGATTGGTTTCAGTGGTGGATTAGGGGTGGGTTTCGGTGGATTTCAGACTTTCAATGGTGGGGGTGGTCAGTGGGGTTGGGTGGTGGGTTTCCATGGGGGTCTTAATCAATTTTGCTGAGATACACCCCCGTCAATGGTTTAAGGAAGAGAGATTGAAATCAAAGAAAATCAAATGGAATTAATCTAATTGATCATGTTTTATTGCTTCGCAAGCTTATCTAATTCCTTCCTTTCTTCATAGATCATGGTTTCTTGACACAGTAAGAGGATAATGAAACAGAGGAAGAGGTTGGGTGGTGGCATTCGATGGTGGGGTTGGGTGGTGGTTTTGGGAAGTCAATAGGGTTAGGTTGTGTGGTTTGGGTGATAAATTTTTGATATATTACCAAATAGGTTTTTTATTTTTGTTTTCACAATTTTTTAAATATAAAATGACTATCAAACGTGTTTTATATTTTTAATTTTTATCACAAAAAAAAAACAAAAACGAAAACATTACCAAACGCACCCTAAATGAATTGGGGATTGTACAAAATAATANTATAAAATGACTATCAAACGTGTTTTATATTTTTAATTTTTATCACAAAAAAAAAAACAAAAACGAAAACATTACCAAACGCACCCTAAATGAATTGGGGATTGTACAAAATAATACGTAATTATTGTCTTCAGATTTATTACAAAAAAAGAAAAATATATTCCTAAATTTTCCAATTCTAGAGGGAGAAAGAAAAACATTTAGATAAGGTATAAAAGGAATATAAGCTCGAGTTTTAATATCATAGGTGAGATACTAAAGAGAAAATCAGCTACATCAAGGAGAAAATTTTAGAGAGGAAAAAATTAATCTCTCTCACAAAAAAATCTCTATCATCTTATCATTCTCCAGGCATTCCCTACATAACCAAAAAAAGGAAAAATCCTGAACTTCCTCCTCTTTTGGCTTTTTCCTTCTTTCCCTTTTCAACCCTTCCCTTGTCTTTTCTTCTGCCATATCTATCAAGCACACTCCAAGACAATTAGGTTTTGTTCCATCACAATCAACTCTACAGTCAAAAAGGAACCGCCTCGAAATTTAAGAACCACTTAACAGAATTCAGTCGATAGAGGAATCAGAAGCACATCAAGCAGCAAGTGCAACTAATTTAAATATCAACACATAAAATGGAGATTAACTACAAGAGCATGAATCTCTCAGTCTAGAGACAGGCATGAACTAGCAACTTTAGGTGGTAGATTGCTCTAAGAAGAATTAAAAAATAGGAGTGGTGGTTTTCATAAAACATCTTGCTTTTCCTCAAGGATTCATTTTGTTTCTTGGTGCATGGGGGTGGGGTAATTAAGAGGAGGAATAATTCAGTTTCAAGTGAGTGAATAATCCAACAATTCTGGGAGAAATAGACATTAGCAAGCCATATCATTAACAAATGAGAGATATACAACAATCATTGAATTTTCCCCCCCCCCCCCAAAAAAAAAAAATAAATGAAAATAAATACAATTACCCAACCCAAACCCCCAAGGAATCCCAACAGCGAGCTCATGTGAGAATAAACCACAGACAGAGGGGCTCCTAACCTCGTATCATCCACAGGCTTACTAGGCTATGGTAAAAAAAAAATGGATAAATTTGGAGCTCAAATGAAAAGAAAGAGAACAGTTCTCAGAAGCATGATTCAATTCAATTTAAATTTACATTTACAGAAACTGAAAAGAAGGGAGAAATGTGTTTCAACTTATGATACCTGAGATTCATCAAGGAGCTTCCGATTGTTCTCCAGCTCCCTCCCAAGCTTGGCAACCTCGTCCATCAGAGTCTTAAGTTTGGTTTCTGTTTCATCCAGTTGAGTTGACTTTTCTGCAATTGCACTATGTAATTCTGACTTTTCTGCAAGTGCACTCTGCAATTCCAGCACAAGATCAGCACTAATTTTAGAATCCAAACCCGGTTCAACAGCTGTTTCAGAAGGTAAAGCATTCAGAGGCTGAGTCATGCTCATAGCCATGGAACTAGTTGCCAGTACCATGCCCCCATCTTTCCCCTCTTTGTCACAGGGATGCCCTTCATCATGATGTGGTTCTAGCATTGATGAATCTAACTGAGGGTTCAGCATTCCAGAAGAATCTGTCATATTCTCATCAAATCCTTTGCTTTGTTTAGAGAGCTCTAACTTTACATGTAATGAACTAGAGGCACACGAAACCTCATCCATAGCTTCAGTGGATACATGAGGCATGTGGGCTTCTCCATCACCTGAGATTTCTGATTTGCTATCATCAGGCTTCACAGTTGGAAGGGCAAAGTTAGATGTATCACCATCAACTGAAGTTTTATTCCCTTGCAAATACTGATCTGATAACCTCTGCTCCAATTCTTTAATTCGTTTCTCATATGACTCACATTGCATTTGCTTAATCTTTAGCATAGATTGTAGGTGTTTCCCATACTCATCTTTCAGATGTAAGGCTTCAACTGTCTTCTCTGCAGCATTTTTAAGTAAACTCTCCACTTTACTGTCATCAAGTGATTCGCATTCATATTCAGGGCTTATTGAACAAATCAAGGCTATTGCAGAAGCAAGTTCAGCTTTCAGTTTTGCATTCTCAACTTCCAGCTTGCTAGTTCCAGCAATCTCAACCAACTCTGAACCCTCGACGAGGTCATCAGAATCATACTTCTCAGATGAATCCACAGCATTCTCTTCAAATTCAGTCGACTGAGAACCATCATTAGACATGGAATACAAACCTTTTGAAGTTCCATGCTTTTCATTTTTCGAAGACAATCCTACTAAACATTCTGGAGCATAACGGTCCAAGTCTGATATGTCAATATCAAGTAAATTAGAGTCAAAAGGAGTTATATTGACATCACATTGGTTAGGAGTATCGTACAATCCCATGGATGCTAAGATATCCCGAGGTATGTATGAACTATGTACTTTCAGAAACTCCTCCCGTCTCCTGACCTCAGCATCCCTCTTTGTAGCTAGCTTTTCAGCCAATTGTCCAGCCATGCCCATGTAGAGCTTCATTGAAGCCTTTCTTCTGACTACCTCAGCAAGGCATGCTCTGTATGCAGGGCCAATGCCCCGGATCACCTTTAAGTGCTCAAACTGATCATTCTGACGATTCAGTGCCTCTGTAAAAACAGAAAACTTATATCGTACATCTTTGATGGTGAACTGACTATATGCTATCTCCTGCATGTAAATGTGTACAAAGATGTTCATTTCATTCTTTTTGTTTTTGCAGAAATCCAGCAGACTAAATATTGCACGTTCACAGGCCTGCATCTTGGGAAGGTAACTTTTGTCATGGCCATCATACATAGGACCCAAGGCTGAAACTGCATCATGAGGACGGAGTGACGAGGACAATTGGCTGATAAGACAATCATCCACAAGTTTCTTCACCGTATTCACATCTTTGCTGCATGAACATGCATACATGATTTAGTAATGACAATGATGATATCCTTCAATTATATAACTATCAGAACAAAGCAAGGGAAAATCTGCCAACAGTGCAGTGCGCATAGCACAATCCATGCAGACTAGTAATAGATGATGTATTACTATTACCTATCGAGAAAGAGAAAATTCAATAGGTTATAGGTGATGTATACACAAATGACATACAGAATGTTGTGCTGTAAAACAAATTCAAGGGATGGTAACAACACTTGCCACTAAAGGGTCATAATCAACCAAAATCTTCATGATCAAAGCATTTTTCAAATTATTTAAACTATAATGTAGCACAAAGTAGCACTTCCTATTTCAAGGCAGGCTAGGCATTAGTAGATTAAACAACCATAGCCAACTTAATATTTTTCTCAGCGAAGAAATACAATGACTAATGAAGCAAAGATTAAGCATGACATGTATACATGGTGCATCCAGATGTATTTAAAAAGCCGCAACAAAGAAAGATAGTACTCTTATCAAAATCTAAATAGATTTTTATTTTGGGGATTATATCAAAGTATTAGAAGCAAAAAAAGGAAGTGGTCAGAGATTCTTCAATGGAAAAAATGAACAAACACTAAAAAATAAATGACACTGGAGATTTTGATCAGAAACTTGGTAGCTTATTAAAAAAGGTGGTGGTAGCTAATCTAGGAAAGATAAGTTTAAGAAGATTTCCTCCACAAGTGTATGACCAATATGGGCGTGGCTTGGGTAAATTGCCCTGTGATGCAACTGAGAAGTATGACAAAGATGCATCTAGCAAGGATTCCCAGCAAACATTATGTCCAGATAATTTCACATTGTAATATATTTTCCTATCCTCTTCTATAATGTATTAGACAGAATAAGCCATTAGGCCTCTCTAGCTTGAATAAGTGTTCCCCTTGGGCAATACTCTAGTATGTTCTCCTGGCACAGTGAGAAATTTGTGCAGCGGGTCAAGAATAATAAGTTGATATTGCGCCTGAAAATAAGCAGGAAAGGGTGCCTTCTGAAAAACTCCGAGTCATCTGAACCAATACAGTAAGCCCCACGGAATTGGGCTCAAACAAAGCTCATGAGAAAATTTACAATTGTCCCCCTGCCTTCTTCATATTGTTTGCAGTTCCAAGACATCTGATGAAATCACAGTAATCACCACAAGGTCGTTATTTAAAACAATCTTGGAAAATATACATGAACCCTTAAAGATCCATTAGGCAATTATCTTCTTCAATTGTCGTAATGCATGCAGTTGAATCTGACGAGAATAAATTTGCCATGTCTCCTTCTGCATTTCCCTGTTTTGACATCTTATCATCCAATAACAATACAACAGGAAATACAAACAGAATTCCATATCTGGCCCGTAAATATTGGTTCATTATCATTTATTTATTTTTTTTATCTCTCTCTTCTCTTGAAAGAAACTGGACAATAGCAAAACCATCAAGTATTCCACCACTGCAACATAATTAAGAATTGAGCAGTTCTAAATGTCTGCCTCACTTTTCCAGATTTGTGATTTGAGCAAAACGAACCAAATTCAAAACAGCCAAAGGTCTCTAGCTAACTGAGCTCATTTAGAATATCCACTCCAACCCACCCACCAACCCCCCTCTCTCAAACCGAAGAACCTTCCTCCTCCCTTCTTTTGATTGTTAACACCCCCCCCCCTTTTTCTTTCTTTTCCCCAACTTCCCAACCATTCTATTTTAACAGACCCATTAATTTAATCAAGATTGTAGCTCCCACAAAGCGAAAAGTACAGAATGTGCATCAAGTGGGGACTATTCGGGAAAAAGCTAACAGGTTATCCATGCTTTGGAATAGTACTCATTATCTTACAGCACATGGATATTGTTTGGACCCTGCTGTAAACGATACTAAGTCGAATCAGAGCCAAAATACACGAGAAATAAACATATATAAGGATGATTTATTAAATGAAATACCAAGCAATATTTCTCAAAGTCAGTGTACTCCTAAATTCATCATCGCAATCTGCATCTATATGTGGCTGGAGATTCAGTATTTCCAACTAGTGTATCAAACAAGGAAAAAGGCTATCAACACCACACATGATTTTCATCTGGCCCAAAAGTCATATCAAGAGAAAATATATGATTCCAATTATATAAAAACAGGTCAAACAATATAAAATAAACATGGTCACCAGACACACACACACACACACACAGAACTAACCTTAAAGCCTGCATTATACTCTTTTGCTCAATGAGATATCGCTGGTGGTCCTTAATTGTTGCTTCCAACTCCCTAATGTGAAATGCAGCTTTGCTAGAAAACAAATTTTCAACTTTGCACTTTAGCTCTCCAAACTCGTGCTTGAATTCTGAAACCTTATTCTCAAACTGCACGTGGGAACTGCTACAATCCTCCACCAACTTCTGCAAGTTCTCTTCCTTCACAAAATCTAGTAAACACTTGCGATTAGAGGTTTGTAAAGCTGGTAGAAGTTTGCAAGATCTCAATTTCTCTATAACCTTCGCAAAATTCACCAGAAGATTAGAATGGCTCTGGTGCTGCTGCGAATAACACTTCACAAAATTCATGTAATTTTGGAGGATCATTCTGTAGTAATGATCTAAATTACCGCCAGCAATCTCCAATGCCCTCTCTTGCACCTTCAGCTCCCTCAAAATCCTGTCACAAGCCTCATATCTCACTTGAGTACGATTGTAAATCACGTGTCCACGCTGATAGTGGTATCTAAATTGCCTCTCATAAGAAGGCAAGGCCTTCAGAGCAGGGTCCAAAGCATCATCAAGTGGATGGGGACTGTGTGAGGGGGATGGTGATGGAGGATCCTGAATTTCAATGATTTCAGCTTGCTCTGGTGCAGGTCGTTGTGAATTACTCCGTATTCTTGCTTTATTAAATAAGAACACTTCTTGGTCTTCAGATGGGAGTTTATAAGCCGAAAGGGGCCTTTGGGACTCCAACTTCATGTCCAAGCACAAAAGCAGCTGGTCATTCAACTGAATCCCTGACGCTGACTCTAGGAACCGCTGGACAGCCTCAACAAGAGTGTATTCATCACAGTCAAGTTCAAATGAGTGTCCATTCTCAGCAATATGAACCAATAGCTTGCCAATTTGAACAACACCTTCTGATACACTTGACATCTTATGCCCTACAAAATCAATAACTCCCCACCACAAAAACAAAATCCCCGGAATCAAACACCACCACCAACACCTTGCAAACAGAAGAAAAATTCAAGCCCAAGCCCTCAAAATCAACCAATAATGCCTTCAACTCAGGTCAAAACTTGGCAAAACAATCCAATCCAGCTATAAAAACAAAGAAACCAATTCACTCCTCCTCAGAATTACCCTCCTATAAGTGAAAATTCCCCAAATTGTTGGCCTTGAGCCTTGATAAACCCCCCCACTTATGTTCGACACCCTATTAAAATCTGCGGAACTGCCCAAATCCCAACAGACCCAGAAAAAATTTCACATGTACAAACCAATTTCACATATCAATCCTTTCCAAAGCCCTAATTATCACCGACCCTCCTCCGAAAACTCCAAAAATAGCTCCCTTTTCAACACACCCACCTGATAGCTCACGAATAGAACCCTAATTATCACCGACCCGCCTCAGAAATCTCAAAAACAGCCCTGTTTTCAACTCACCCACATAATATTTCACGAATAGAATTATCACCGACCCACCACAGAATTCTGCAAAAAAAAAAAAGCCGAGATTTCAACACACCCACCAATTAATTCGTCCAAAAGACGCAAACTTCATCGCTACCGAACGTTAATTCCACAAAAATCAATCAGTTCCTGAAACCAATTTACATAAAACCCAAATGCAAAATATGAAAGGGAAAAAAAAACAACAGCACACGAAAACAGATAATCGGAAAAGGGTTCAAAGAAAATCAAACAAGAATATTTCAATGAATCAATTAGGTGAACAGGGAGAGGGATTTACTTGGGGCAAGCTGAGAGAAGGTTTAACACGAAACGCTTTGTGTTTTTGTTATTCTATGTGGTTTTTGTGTTTCTTCTTGGTCGTTGATGAAGGATTAATTTATTATATTGTACGAGAGAACCTTGTGAAGGAAGTAACCACCAGAAAGGCAGAAGAAGAAGTTGCTCTGTTCTTCCTCTTCCGCAACCAAAACCTTGGAAGAACAGAAAAGCCTAAGCTGCTTCACAATTATATCCCTCATTCTCTATGTCATATAGTTTTTTTTTTTTTTCTTTTTTTTTTTTCTAATGGTATATATCTATATAATAAAACATGAGTATTTTTGAATTTTATCTCAGTCATATTTTATCTCTTAAAACCATCATCAATCACTTACCTCACCTATCATTCTTTGTCAGACTCAAACATCAAATCACATCACCCATTTTTATCACATATTTAATCATTTATATATTTCCTCCCTAAAAATATCACACCACTCACTTTTGTCATATATTCAATCATTTAATATTTAATTAATTTATAGTTAATATATTTTTAAAAAAATTAATATAGTGAAATCAATTTTTTTGACGCTCTTTTTTTATATTTTATCGTACCTTCAGACATTGGTTATGACTAGTATATATATATCTTAGATATATAGCTTTAGAAAGTGTAAAAAATATCAAACTTATAATTTCTTACTTATAAGAAGACAATCTTGATTCAATGATTATATAAAAATATGCCATTGAATTAATAAATTAAATTTAAATTTTAAATTTAAATAACATTACTTTAAAATAAAAAAAAATAGATGTAGCAGCAGTTTGTTGAAAACCCATAATCTTTATTTAATCCAGGATATGTGATGTATATGTCATTTCAAAGTGATCTATTAATCTACTAATAAGTAGTTTCATGGCATCCTAGTACCACCAAATTATTAAAAATATCTCACCACTCATATAGTTTTTATTAATTTATATTCCTACTTGTTTCATGATTGGGATTCGTAATAAACATTAGCTTTACCTTTGTGGTTTTGGGATTTGAAATAACAATAGCCTCCCCAATCTCTTTGGATGGCTATAAGCCTGGCTGCAGGAATCCTTGATCCTCTCAATTATAAATAGGGTTTGTTAATGGTTTGTGGCATGTCTAAGCTATGTTGTATTAAAATTTATTTAATTTATATTCAATTTATTTATAATTGTGTATAATTTGATACAAATTGATTTATATTGTATATAGATTATATATTAATCATGTTTAGTGCCTTCATCACGTGACTGATTGAGTCCAAGTCAACCTATTTATTTGACAAATTCACCCTTCAAAATTTTATGTGAGGAAAAGAATCCTAGGTCAAGGCAGTAACACGGTACAGGATCATTCCCTTGTTCTTGGTGCTTATTGTGAAATGACATAGTCAAGAGATCGTAGGATACTGGCAAAAGAAGAAGGTGGATACTACTTTGATTATGATTCAGAAAATAAGATATGCTCGCCAATTGTATTTACAATTGCTAGGCTTAATTACAAATCTTGTCAACTTATGCCAAGAGAGCAATACTATTGGGACAGAAATTTAGAAACATAAAGATTGTAGTCATTAAATCGTCAGTACTATCANACCAATTTCACATATCAATCCTTTCCAAAGCCCTAATTATCACCGACCCTCCTCCGAAAACTCCAAAAATAGCTCCCTTTTCAACACACCCACCTGATAGCTCACGAATAGAACCCTAATTATCACCGACCCGCCTCAGAAATCTCAAAAACAGCCCTGTTTTCAACTCACCCACATAATATTTCACGAATAGAATTATCACCGACCCACCACAGAATTCTGCAAAAAAAAAAAAGCCGAGATTTCAACACACCCACCAATTAATTCGTCCAAAAGACGCAAACTTCATCGCTACCGAACGTTAATTCCACAAAAATCAATCAGTTCCTGAAACCAATTTACATAAAACCCAAATGCAAAATATGAAAGGGAAAAAAAAACAACAGCACACGAAAACAGATAATCGGAAAAGGGTTCAAAGAAAATCAAACAAGAATATTTCAATGAATCAATTAGGTGAACAGGGAGAGGGATTTACTTGGGGCAAGCTGAGAGAAGGTTTAACACGAAACGCTTTGTGTTTTTGTTATTCTATGTGGTTTTTGTGTTTCTTCTTGGTCGTTGATGAAGGATTAATTTATTATATTGTACGAGAGAACCTTGTGAAGGAAGTAACCACCAGAAAGGCAGAAGAAGAAGTTGCTCTGTTCTTCCTCTTCCGCAACCAAAACCTTGGAAGAACAGAAAAGCCTAAGCTGCTTCACAATTATATCCCTCATTCTCTATGTCATATAGTTTTTTTTTTTTTTCTTTTTTTTTTTTCTAATGGTATATATCTATATAATAAAACATGAGTATTTTTGAATTTTATCTCAGTCATATTTTATCTCTTAAAACCATCATCAATCACTTACCTCACCTATCATTCTTTGTCAGACTCAAACATCAAATCACATCACCCATTTTTATCACATATTTAATCATTTATATATTTCCTCCCTAAAAATATCACACCACTCACTTTTGTCATATATTCAATCATTTAATATTTAATTAATTTATAGTTAATATATTTTTAAAAAAATTAATATAGTGAAATCAATTTTTTTGACGCTCTTTTTTTATATTTTATCGTACCTTCAGACATTGGTTATGACTAGTATATATATATCTTAGATATATAGCTTTAGAAAGTGTAAAAAATATCAAACTTATAATTTCTTACTTATAAGAAGACAATCTTGATTCAATGATTATATAAAAATATGCCATTGAATTAATAAATTAAATTTAAATTTTAAATTTAAATAACATTACTTTAAAATAAAAAAAAATAGATGTAGCAGCAGTTTGTTGAAAACCCATAATCTTTATTTAATCCAGGATATGTGATGTATATGTCATTTCAAAGTGATCTATTAATCTACTAATAAGTAGTTTCATGGCATCCTAGTACCACCAAATTATTAAAAATATCTCACCACTCATATAGTTTTTATTAATTTATATTCCTACTTGTTTCATGATTGGGATTCGTAATAAACATCAGCTTTACCTTTGTGGTTTTGGGATTTGAAATAACAATAGCCTCCCCAATCTCTTTGGATGGCTATAAGCCTGGCTGCAGGAATCCTTGATCCTCTCAATTATAAATAGGGTTTGTTAATGGTTTGTGGCATGTCTAAGCTATGTTGTATTAAAATTTATTTAATTTATATTCAATTTATTTATAATTGTGTATAATTTGATACAAATTGATTTATATTGTATATAGATTATATATTAATCATGTTTAGTGCCTTCATCACGTGACTGATTGAGTCCAAGTCAACCTATTTATTTGACAAATTCACCCTTCAAAATTTTATGTGAGGAAAAGAATCCTAGGTCAAGGCAGTAACACGGTACAGGATCATTCCCTTGTTCTTGGTGCTTATTGTGAAATGACATAGTCAAGAGATCGTAGGATACTGGCAAAAGAAGAAGGTGGATACTACTTTGATTATGATTCAGAAAATAAGATATGCTCGCCAATTGTATTTACAATTGCTAGGCTTAATTACAAATCTTGTCAACTTATGCCAAGAGAGCAATACTATTGGGACAGAAATTTAGAAACATAAAGATTGTAGTCATTAAATCGTCAGTACTATCAATCCAATTGTCACAATAGATTATGTCCTAATAGTATTAGTAAAATTAAAATTAAATAGATCGAAAGTCTTGAGAGGGTATTTTTGTTTTTCTACACTATAAAATTTGGCAAAATCTAAAGGATTGTTTCAAGGATAAAAGTAATTTTTTTTTTTTTGTGTATGATGTATATCAGAAATCTGTGTTTTAAGTGAATAATAAGTTTGAGAAATGTGTTTTTAGTATAGACACTAATAGGTATTTAACGATGATCAAATTTAAGTGAGTACTCGCTAAATTAAAGTTACAAAATTCATAATTCATCTAAAAACTTTACCTTTCTTTTTGATTGTACCATAGAGACCCTTTTTCCCTCCTTCATCTCTTGTTTTTTCTACCTTTCCTTCCCGGTCCGCCCACTGATAATAGAGGGTATTNGAAAAAAAAACAACAGCACACGAAAACAGATAATCGGAAAAGGGTTCAAAGAAAATCAAACAAGAATATTTCAATGAATCAATTAGGTGAACAGGGAGAGGGATTTACTTGGGGCAAGCTGAGAGAAGGTTTAACACGAAACGCTTTGTGTTTTTGTTATTCTATGTGGTTTTTGTGTTTCTTCTTGGTCGTTGATGAAGGATTAATTTATTATATTGTACGAGAGAACCTTGTGAAGGAAGTAACCACCAGAAAGGCAGAAGAAGAAGTTGCTCTGTTCTTCCTCTTCCGCAACCAAAACCTTGGAAGAACAGAAAAGC